CGAATCGATTATTTCGCCGCATGTTGATCGTAATCGTTATCTCTTCCGGACGCGTTGTGATTCTAAATGTCTCTGAAAGATACAAATCATCTTCTCCTAAGGTACGGTGACGGAAATGTGAAAAATAATTAAAGAGAGATGCTTACATGATACCACATTTGCTATGTCACTTGCTCATCTTGCTTCTGCTCGCATTTCTTCCTTTCATATCCTTCGTATCGTATTCGATATACAGTAACCTTCCCCTGCCCCGACTTGGCGTCCTTATGTAAATTCACAGCTACATATGTGCGCAAAAGTTGTAACAGAATGATTCAGACTCAAACCTACAACAACTGCGTAAATAATTGATTGCTCTTTTCCCTACCTGTAGTTTTACATTCAAATAAGATTCCCTCGGCTAATTTACAAAAATAATAGCGATGTAATATTTTTTTTACATATTATACGTATATAACTTTTGCCTACGTAATTTTGCATATGTTAACTATGTAATTATACATATATTAATTATGCTATATAATAATAAAATACTAAGCATTTTATTATTATATAATCAGTGGAATAACATTATTAACACATATAAAGATATTACGTAAAAGAAAAAAATCTGAAAGCTTTCAAATTTTAAATTGCATCCAAAGGGGCCTTTTTTTAAAAATATTTTGTGTGTTACCTTTATTTATTAAATATCATATTCTTCGCACTCAAACCATAAATTTCAATTCAGTAGTAATGTCGCAAAATAATTTTAAAACGAGCCTATCTTTAGAATGTCTGATACACAGTTCCGCGCGCTGGAGATAAAAATGTCCTCCCCCGTAGATTGTTGCCATTGCTCGCTTTCAAATCGTTCAGTTTGTTACTCAAAAAATCGTTAAAGAAATATGAAATCGATCATAAAACAAATTCCAAACTTCAAATTTGGTCTTCCACATGCCCATATTCGCAGTAGAATTACGTCATTCAAAAAATTCGATGGCTCTATGTACCGTTGTTTTATCACAATGCGAGAAATATACATACATTTATGCAGATTTTTCATTATTTAATTTCTTCAAATATAATGCAGGACTCTAACATTTGGTGGCAACAGTGTGAAAAGTAAAACGGACATTTATAGTGATTCAACGCAAAATCGCAAAACGAAAACAATTGTCCTTCAGGGACAAAGCACATTTGGACTAATAACATATATTCTACCTGCATATATATATATGTACCATAAAAGCAGTTAAATACTAACTTGCAATAACTCCAGAACTTTAATTTGGTTATTTCCTATTCCCAACGTCCAAACAGGCCAGTGGTTAGCGACGCTGACAGCCGTACAGAAGAACCTGGGTTCTAATTCTGGAGATGGCATGGATGTTTGTAAATGTATAGTCTGCGCGCCATAGGAGGCACTCTAAATATCCGGCGAGCCAAAATCCTCTCGAGAGGTTGTGGTAAGGGTGGAAGACCCTCAGACCCATCCCTTCGGGGTACTCTCTATCAAAACTGGGAGAGGAACTGAGCAAAGTGGTACTGTCAGCTGTATGGTGCTCAAGGCTCTAGTCAACGGCAGGCGCAATCTTCCATTCCTTGCCACGATGAATTTCGTGGGCTTGTGCTGATGTTACTATCAAAGAAGTGAGATAAGTCACAACAACAACATTTTCTATTTCCATTTTAAAATAAGTGATGGGCTAAAATAAAATTATCTCAAAAGTGTCTTGACGGTTTTATTCCCGTCTTAGTCCGAAATGGAAATAGTTGTTGACCATCCTTGTCATATTAGCCACCGTTTTCCAAATAACGGCTTTGTCCTTTTCAAATATCGTACAGAGAAGCGAAATTGAGACTAGCGAATTATTGGAAGGTTATTATGGGTATGTTATCTGAATGTGGCAAAGCGCACGAGAGCTATCTGACTGAGAGGAAGACGCTTTTGTAAAGAATTTTCTAATGAAACCTAGCTCATATTTATGTCACACATGGAGACAAACAGAAAAAAACGAAAATGCAGCCAGCCCGTTTGCCCGAGTTAGAATCCGAGTTGAATTATTTGAAGGTACACTTTACATCTAGTTCAGAGTGATTAATCATGATTATCAATAATTTTGTTTCTTCAACAAAATTTATTTACATAACTTTCAGATATACAAATGTCGCCCTCGAAGTAAAAGTTCTGACTGCTTTTGAATGACAGGCTTATAAACTCGCCACAGAATACTTCTATAAGATACACAATTACTCGAAAAAGTACTCGAACTTCGTTCTATTATCTAAACTACAAGTCATTAAAAAAAATTAAACAATGAACTAGAAATGTTATTTGCCCAATGTGAAAATTACAGAACGAAGATATTCCTCAGGAACATTTCCAAAGAAATTAAATAAATTTGCACTAGCACAAAGAAGCAAAAACATTTTAGATCCCATAGCGTGGGTTGAAAAAGCATTCGAGTTTTTTCTAAAATGGGAAAAAAAGATTTATATTATGTTTAATATTTTGTAGGATATCCCATAGACTTAATAACAACTTTCAATCTAGATGGCATGTTTACAACTACTTTTTTAATGTAATCACTTTCTATTTCATATCATTCTTAGTGTAAATGTTGTTTTTTAGCTTCTTCTTGTTTGCGGTATCTTTATTTCTGAACCTTCGACCTAATTCTTCTCACAAATGTTTAACTGAATTTATGTCTGGTGACTGTGGGGATGTTTCAAGTGCTTTTGGTGGGATGTACAACAGTCAAAGTCTGGTATTTATGTTTCAGATCATCAGCTTGTATGAATACAAAATCTGTCGGTAATCCGATAAATTGAGTACTGCCATGTGAATTTGTTTTTAAAATGTTAATATATATCTTATAGGTCCATTGTGCCATCCGCAAAACGTAATTTCCCCCACATCTGCATAAGACATGCACCTCCAAACCATAAGGCTCTGTTCAGACGATGGTATAAATGTCGTAACTGGTTTAAGCCGAGCTTCGTTGTTAAGTAACCAGACCTTGCTACTTCGCAAAAACTAGTTTAAGAGTTTTGGGGCATAAAGCTCGAGGTTTTTAACCTTATGCCGATTTGGTATAGCAGTTGACCAATCAGAGCGAACGCGGGAAACCTATTGAGCGAGAAAAAAGAGCAGGAAAGCTCTAGAAGCAATCCACACATGCGCCAATTTATCTTCTCTAATTGAACCCTGTGTGAATGGAACTTCCAAATTTTATACCTTTATGACATTTATACCACCGACAGAACGGGGCCAAGCGGAAAGTCCGCCAGACTTTACTTTTGGTCGGAGATTTCTCATTTCAATTTTTTCTTTGGTTGTCTCCATATCTTACAATTACCATCTGCTCCAAATAAGTTACACATACTTTCACCACTAAATATAACATTTTTCTCAAAGTCCCGGGGCACATACGTTTTCGCAAATGATGAGCTTTTCTTTTTATTGACGTCAGACACGTAATAATGTTTTTCGAGCTGATCGTCCTTTATAATCAAGCTCTTTAAAGACATTTCTTACAGTTTGATCACAAACTTCTGTCTTAATCAGTAGTTTCAATTCTGGAGCACTTAATGTTGGATCTTTTTCATCTTCTTGTAAAAGATATCGGTTATCATACTTGGTCAACGTTTTTGGTCGCCCGCATCTTGTCCTGTTTACAAAATTTGTTGACTCCAGATGCCTTTTTAGTATTTATTTTACAGTTGAAAGCGGTCTTTTGAAAGGCTGAACAATTTTCTCATATGTTTCTCCAGATTTCCTTATATTAATTACAGTCTGTCCTTTCTTCAGTTATAGCTTCTTTTTCTTTTCGGGATATTTTTAGATTTCCCGTTTAAAATTGCAGAAATGTGTATGATTCAAGCACCAAAGTTTCAAATAGCCTTAAGGTAAATACTCTTGTAATATTTAAAGATGTCTTCAAGTGTTAATTTAAACTTTGTAACCCTTTAAACGACGTATGAATGACCAGAATCGAATACTTTTTGGTGATAAAACAGGTCGTTTACAAGAAAGTCGCTTTTATCCCAATGAAATTTTTTTTTAAATTTTATTTTACATTTAATGACAAGTATAGACCTTGCTAAAGACTACAATAAGAGAAGATTAAAAATAAATAATCAGAATATGCTTTTATTTCATGTGCTGGATTATCGGGTATGCTGAACTATTTGGGGACCCAATAGTCGGAATTTTTCTGCTGAGAAAAATGAGGAATAAAAATTAAATCTGGTTTTAAGAGGAGAAACTCAGTTCAAAACTATAATGTTTATAGGTCAACAGCCCTTATTTTTGCGAAGTGTTTCTGAATTATCTGTATTTTGTAAAATCTGTTAACTATGCACTCTTACTCCCAAAAATTCATATTATTAAGAAAAATTCTGAAAGATTAAAGATTTTATATTACTTCCAAAGGGACTTTTTTCATTTACACATACAAACACGTTTCGAGAGCATTTGGGCTAAAAATATTTAAAAACGGCATATCTTTAGAATTTTCAATAGACAGCCTCGCGTGCTAGAAATAAAAATCTTTCCCGCACAGTGTGTTGTCACTACTCCCTTTAAAATTGCTGAGTTTTTTTAATAAAAAATTCGTTAAAGTTTTCCAAAATATGAAAGAGACAATAAAACAAATTCCAAATTCGTGCTGTGCCACGTTCGGATGGAGGAAAATTTGATGACTCTAGCTACCGTTGTTTTTTTACAATGCGAAAAACATACATACATACATGTAAATTCTTTATTATTTCGTTTCTTTAAATATAAGGGCTATAATATTTGGTGGCAACAATTTGAAAAGTGATACAGCCGTTTACAGAGAGTTATTCGACGCAAAATGCCGTTTCGAGACTAATAGCACTTCTGGGCTACTGCCCATTTGGGTTAAAAAAAGCTTTGGTATTTTCGCAATGTTTTATTTATTGAAATATTTACTTATTTGACAATGTTTTGATTATTTATTATTTTCCTAACATAATTTAATTTTATTTTACAGAAAGCAAAATCGCTGTGAATTCTTGCTCGCTACAGGTAAGAAAATCTACCAAATTATTCCTCATTTTAAAGCATAAAAATATTCCAATCAAACAATGCTTCACTCATATTCTATGCATTATTTTAACTTATTGTTTTATTTTTTTAATTTATTTTTCTCCTTTTCCTCCTCATTTCTACGGCTCAGAAAAATGAAATTCCTTTCATCAAGCAATGAATAAAAAACATTAAAATTTTGCACTCTATATTTATGACTCAGTCGCTTTGTTTATATGTCATTAAAATGGATAAGTGTAATAACTACCAACTCATAATAGACGCCATAAAAAATTGAAGATAACGCTATGTCTTAATATGAAGCTTTCATCTAGCTGGGATACAGTTCGAATTTCCTCATGTTGTTCAGGTAGTCAGGACTCATTATTTTGCCATTAGATACGGATCGCCAGAACTTTTGAATAAACCTAAGATGCTTGGAGACATTCTATGCCAATATAAAAAGATTCCATTTCGCTCGCTTTCATAATTGAATTTTTGTGCTTGAGTATGGTTCCTTTTGTAAACTTCAGTTTGTTGGTGTGGGATTATTTAACCAATGATATGGTTTCTCAGAGCACTGACTATTAAAATATAGCGTAGATATTTTTGTTATTTCTAAAAATTACAGTAAATAAAACTTCGGAAGCTGCTAAAAGGATATTATTTATAGTGCTCGTAATAACGTATTGTAAAGCGATATTAAATTGATATTTTGGAGCTAATTTCAAAATTATTTTAAGTCTGGAAAAATTTCAAAAACTTTATACCTGATCTTTCTGAGCTAAAGCGTTTTCTTCAAAGTTTTTTACGAAGTTTTGTTGAAATATTTTTACACTATCTGATATCAAGTTGATTTTCCTTCTATCACTGAAAATAATATTTTATTAAGTCACTGAAAATAATATTTCTATTACTATATTTCTACCACCGAAAGATTTTTGAAAACATATTCTTCTGTATAGTAAAAGGAAGGAATATGGGGAAAGACGTAAATATGTGTGTGTTATGACTTATCTCACTTGTCTAACAGTAGCATCAGAACAAGGCCACGAAATACATCGTGGAAAGGAGTGCAAGATTGCGTTGGCAAGAGTCTTGATCATCATACAGATGACAGTACGACTTCGCTCAATTCGCTCCCAATTTCGATGGAGAGCACCCAGAAGGAAACGTGTCCGAGAGTCTTACCACCAACCTCTCGAGAGGACTTTCGGCTCGCCGCATATTCAGAGTGCCCCCATGTCGCACAAGCACTATACATTTACAAAACTACATGTCTTTTTCGGGATTCGAACCCAGGCCCTTTGTACCGCAGTATGCTCCCTTAACCACAATATCGTCTGGGCGGCAGACATAAATATGAATTTCATCGACAGTTTAATAAGATACATAGTATATATCACTACGAAATTAAGTGAATAATATAGCTATTTGTAAATGAGTTTTTACTATTACATTATATTACGTGAAATCACAAGTTAATCTAATCATGCTTTGCATTTTCTGATTCGGCATCCGTAATTATTCTAACCTAACAACTTTTGTCAATCGGCCCAACAGGACGGAATATGTAGAACTGTTCCAATTTTTTTTCCAGTGTACCAGCCTTTTATTAACTAAATGTTGCGTGAACTAGCAATAATTTCCTTTCCCGCCTTACGTTACATAGTTTCAAAACCTTAACATGGCATTACACGATTAAATAAAAATATTTGTAATTATTTGTGACGAATGGGTATTTCTGTGCCAAAAATGCTGGTTTTGTAAATACCATCTGAAATCATTTATGTTTTGATGCGATCGATGTGGGACTATATATTTGTATTTAAATTTTTTTTTTTTATGTTTTGTTAATGATTTACCTTTTTCTTTGAGCACTTAACTGTATGAAGAAGTATCCAAATTTGTTCGAAGAAATATGGATGTTGAAATTTATTAAACTTTTACTAAAGAAAATTGAATCTGAATCCTTGAAATAAATTTTACGTCAGCATATAATAGTCGATTACGACTTAGACAGAAATTATGTGTCAATCCTAACTAAACAACTCTTATTACACTTTCAATAAAATTGGTTTAATTGCAGCCGCTGGTTAGATAGTAAATCTTAGGAGATCTGGTTTTACAAGGTGCTCTAATTGAAAATTTAAATTTAAATTAGGAATAAATTCAAAGCAACAAGGTCTCCGTGACTGTGTTGCAAAATGGCTCCATTTGACTTTAGAGGTCATTTATTTGTTTAGCGTCTGACTCCATTAGCAGCTTTTAAAAGCTGTGAACAATCGAGCAATTATCTCCATGATTAAGATTGTCAGCTTTCACATTTTAAACAATTATATTGTGAAACTTAAAGACGGCTACGCAGCAAATAATGGCTTGCAAGTTTAAGTTGCAATAGTTTGAGATATCACAATAAACATCCAAGGCAAGGAAAATGGATTAATTTATGGAAGCTAAATGACCATTTTCTTTCCAAGAAAAGTTAAATTAAAAAACATTTTCTGAGTTTAATACTTTATAGAACTGTTGAAAAACTTTGAAAATCTCAGTTAGTTTCTGCAGTAGTCCCCAAACAAAAATGTGGCGATCGACGTGGGACTATATATTTGTATTTAATTTTTTTTTTAAATAAAAATGGTGAGGTGAACTTACGACACGTGTTTTAAACAAGAGGAGGGGCGGACATCTTGAAAAGCAAATTGCCGGACGAACCACGGGAAACTGTGGCCAGTTTTAGGTTTGAAACTGATCTCGAGTGCTTGATGAGCCATATCTATCGTGTTGGTATTCTTGCCCAAAGTGCCCACTTTGGGATAGTAAGAATACAGTTAATTGAAGAAGTGGACAGGGTCCACATCGGAAGATCCACATCAGCGCGACGTGGACCTTCTGAGGTGGAGAGGTATTGAAGAGCTAGAGGCCAAATGTTGTGATACTGAATTTTTACGTTTTATATTCACAAAGTTTTGCTCTGTTCGTATAATTTTTATCTTATTCTCCGCCATTGGAAATAATAATAATAATAATTGTCATCTATAATCTTCATTCTGTGGTCAAATGGCTCTTTAAGTAGAGAAGAACAGAAGGAATTATCTTATTCTCCCGTGCTAGCTCTCGTGATATAAACAATTAGTATGTCCACTTAGAAGCCAGAAGATACGTGTCACGAATCCTGTTAAAGGTTCGCTTGATTTTTTTCAAGTTTCTCGCTTCGAAAATTCTAATAGTCTGTACAAAGGATCCCTCATTTATTTTACAATTAATTTATAAGGTATTTCTCCCGCCTTCTTAGCATGCCTTCGTAGTGCAGTGATTAGTACACTGGGCGCGTATCCAGAGGTTCGAGTCTCGGCGAGGGCATTGCTCATTTTTCATCACTCTTGCTTCGAAATAACCTAATGTCTCTACAGTGGCGCCCGAATTAAAAGGGTGGTGGGTGATCATTCCCCATCACCAGGATTTGGCGATTGGGTCCCCTAATCCCCAGTCGCCCTTTAAAAGGCGGAATATATAAGGTATTTCTCCCGCCTTCTTAGTATGCCTTCGTAATGTAGTCATCAGCACGCTGGGCGCGTATCCAGAGGTCCGTGGTTCGAGTCCCGGCGAAAGCATTGCTCATTTTTCATCACTCCTGCTTCGAAGAGTTCTGTTTCTTAGCATGCATAACTGCATACAGTAATGTTATATGCACAGGAAGTTTCTGTATCGCTTATAAATACTAAGACAAATACTATATTATTTAAAGTAACTTGAATTTCCATGGGGAATAATAGTACCAAGTCACATTAGAAAGCCTTTTACCGCATTAGAAAGACTTAATGCAGCAGCTTTTCGGATTCCTAAATCATGCCTTTTGGAACTTATCTCACTTGTCTGATAGTAATCTCAGATTCGATCCAGTTATTTTATCGCGGCGAAGAGAGTAAGAGTTGCGCTTATCATTGGCTTAAGTCTTGGGACCTTTGGGAACATTCACAGGACTCTGTCGTCATTACTTAAGACATAAAAGTTATTCAGCAGTTCATACCTGTAGAAGAGGCTTTAAGCCGTAGCCTATCAGGGACATGAGTGAATATGCAGCTGACTCAGCGAAATCGTCAACCGAATGTTTGTTTGTGTTTGATTCGCTGTGACTGGTTGGTTCTTATATCAAGCTGGCATAAAGCTTAAAACATTTAACCTTTTCTTCTGGGTTACAGAGAACTAATTTTTTACGTTCTCTAGCCATTTCGCTGAGTCAGCTACATCACCCTGGAAGAAACAGGACAAATAATAAAAAAATGATAATAATAAAAAAAACCTTTGCAAATATATCCGAAGTTATTGTCCGTAAAATATTTTGTTCATTGTTCATCTAAATATTTCCCCCGTTGTTTGCAAAAATATTCTCCTGCCTGTTCAGTCTGAGGTTACGCTTAAATCTGATGATAACGTTCTAGATGAATTTGAAGTTGAGGCGTTTCATTTATTTGAAAAAAGTCTGTTGATTTTGAAATTATTTTGCTTTTTCTTTTCATTAGTAGCGTTTATTTCGTTCTTTACACAAGTTATTTGCTCTCTCTTTGTTTTCTTCTTCACTTATCTGAACAGCTGTTCGCTCTCTAGTCCGTTTCAACAAATTTTTTTTGTTGACTCATTTTAAAATGTTATTAACTTAAGTGAAACAAATTCACAATCTATACAACTATTCACAACCGCATCCAACAAGCAACTGAGACGAAGCCGCCTATCAGACGAGAATGTGTGGAAGCGGCGATGCACGGCCACTCACTGTGCATGCACCACAGGTATGACATCATCAAAATTCCCTTGATTTTCGCTAACTTTGTCACTCACCTGTGACTGAATCGTAATTCCAATTCCAAAATTCTTTTTATATTGTGTAGCGTACACCTTCATTTATCAACCGAAACACAAACCAGCTTTCTATGTTGTGTAGTTGCGGAAATCTAAGCGTTTCCATAACCCGCAAAAGCGTCATAATTTTTCTTTCCACA